GGTTGGTGAGGGCACCATGAGCACATGGGCCATCCTAGCCTTGAAGACAGCAGCCAGATGTTGCAAGTTAGGTCTCAGCCAACAGTGACCAGTGTTCCAGAAGGCAGTCAGGAGAGGGTGGTGACGAGTAGAAGCAGTAAGCACAGAAACAAGCTCACATTAATTATTAATGTTCAATAACCAGAGGCTGAATAGCATCAACCGGGTCTGGACAAAATAGCAAACCAGGGAAAGGATTTGATGTTAGGGCCAGATTTCTATCGCCAGTATCGTCAGTGTGTTTGAATAAAAGGTTGTGGTGGGAGAGGAAGGCTCTGTGCACTAACCTGATCTTAAGTGAGTATCTTAAGACAGGATGCTGCAGTGAGCAGAAGTAGTCAAACGTACAGCCCTCATGAGAGCTTTCTTCCCTAGTGACACAGAATCAAATGGTAACAGGGGCTCTGGAGAAAAACAAAGTAGAAATGAGGGGTGGGGAGGTGCGGTGGGAGGGTACCCTTCACTGTGCTCATACGATGTGGGGAAGAACATGAATAGTCGTCGTCTTTTTCTGAAGTCTGTGTTGAGCAGTTTCTCCCTTAGTCACCTCCTCCAGTGCCCTGGCTCCCACTGTGCATTCTGTGTCACTTCAGCTAGTATATTTATTTCTTGACCTCTTTGGAATTTCCAGTTTCTTACCTAACACCCCAACCTCGGTGGTTCCGTGGACATCTTAAATTCAGCACCTTCCAAATCAAATATAACTTTCCTCCAAAAGTTCTACCTTCTCTTACTGTAATAATACTGTCATAAACTCCACCATTCAAGGAAGAAAATTCAGTCATGTATGAGTCCTCCAAATTCTGTGCATGCCTTCCAATTGGAAGACATGCCCGCATCAATTTTCATTCCAGAATTCACCTTCAGTCTCTTACTGATTTATTCCATTATTCTGTCAACTTCAGTTTTCCACATGCTGAACCTACCAGGTGCCAATAATACAGAATAAGTCTAACAGTGAATGGGTAGAACCAGGCATATTTTCCCTGCAGGCTGGGCACAGTGAGGGTCAGCACACTGAGTTGTGTCCGTGGGAGTGAGCGGCAGCTGTGCCTGAGCATGGTCTTGAAGATGGAATCCTGTAAAGAACAAGAGATTGGGTGGGGTACAGAATTTCCTCTGGTGTGTCTCGGGACCAGTGAGTTCAGCCACCCCGGGGAAGGCACACAGAGCAGATGGCTGGGGTGCACAGGGCTACCAGGGACCCCAGGAACAGAGGTGAAAGGGGAGGTCTTGAGAAGTGGTTTTTTATGACTTCAACATGCCAGAAGCTATGCAGTAGAAGTAGAGCCGCAGGTGAGAAGAAAGGTCAGTAGGAAACGGAGGTGAGAAATCATGGGCATGGAAGGGTTGAAGCCCCAGGGACAAGCAGGAGGAGCAAGGGATGAGGGAAGTCACCCCCTCCCCTGTTCACAGCCTTCTCCACTGCCTGCACCTCCCTGGCCTCCCCCTAAATCCTGCCCCACATCTCTCTCTTTACTTAAAGCTCAGTTCTGAATATGGTGGGTTCCTCTCAAAAGCCTTTGGATAAAGCACCAGCCCCTCAGCATTGCCTTCACAGCTCTTCTGGTTTCGGCCGGAGGGCCTGTGCATCATCACTGTGAGTGTCCCTATGACCATACCAGAGGCTTCCATACACCCCCAGTCAATCATCAACTTTCGTCTCTAGCTCCAGGAGACCATTTTCTCTGCCAAGAAAGCAAAAGAACTTGATTTTAGAATCAAACTTTATTGAAATACTGGTTCATTTTCTTACCAATTAGAGGTGACAACTTGACTTGAGCAGTTAATTAAATCCTTCTGAATAGGTCTCCGTACCTGATAAAAGGTCAGACTGGATCTTTAGAATTATCAGCATATAATAGGTGCTCAATAAAAATTAAGTACTTTTTATTACCATCCATCTCTTTTCCACTCACCACAACCATATCTCAGGATCAGTTAACAATTTAAACCTCTTTGATTTCTTTCAGAATGTGCCTACTCGGAGTTCATTCTAACCTGTGCTCTCTGCTTCCTTGGCAGTTTATACCACCTCAGAATATAACACAAGTTACCTGTTTTCTCTACCACATTATGGGTGAATTGATAGTAGACATTATTTTTATAGCCTTCTATACCTTGCAATTCGTAGGAAATTGCTTGAATTGATTTCTGGGGAAATCTACTTTAACATTTTCTTTCTTTTTTTGGTAATAGCTCTGTTGAGATATAAATTACATACTTTACAGCTAACTCTCCCCTTTAAAGTGTACGGTCCAGTGGGTTTTAGTATGCTCACTATGGTGCACCCGTCATCACAACCAATTTTGGAACATTTTCATTGCCTGCCAAAGAAGCCTCGAACTCTAGTAAACAGCCTACCAGCCCCAGCCTTCTGCCCTCTTCAGCTCTACACAGCCACTCATCTACTTTCTGCCCCTGCAGATTTGTTTTTACTGGACATTTCCTATAAATGGGATCCTAGTATGTGGCCTTCTGTGCGGTGTCTTGCATATCTAGCAGTGAAATTGCTAGGTCACGTGGAAGCGGATTTTAGCTTTTAGAAGAACTGCCCAACTGTTTTCTAAATCAGCTGTATTAGTTTTACATCTTCGCTGGAGCATATGAACGTTCACTTTACCCACACCATCACCAGCACTTGTTGCTGTCTGGTTTCATTATAGCCGTGCTAGTCCAGTATTTTATTACAAAAATATTCTTTCCTCATTCATTCTTACTTGAGTATCTTACTCAGTGCCAGCTATATCCTAGACACCATTTTGAGCTACGAGGCCCAGCAGTGAAAGGCAAGTATGTCTACCCAGCCATGCAGTAAGCCATACACAGTATGCGTCATTCTAGGTAAAATGACCTCCTTTCCCCTGCTGGCTAGCAAACAGACTCTTTCTTGCAGTCCTTTTTGCCTCAAATTTATAGTCCAGTTATAACAGTGTCATGTGGCTCCTTCCAGTCTGCTGGGGGGGAGGGGTGCAGCACCAGAATGGTGACAGGGAGTGCCCTCAAGAGACACAGCTGTTAGGATTAAATAGGTTGAGCAAATTGAGTTACACAGAGGCAGCAAGCTTTGAGCTGAAACTTAAAGGTGAGGAGTTATTCAAGAGATACCAGAGAAGGGGATGTGGAGAGCAGAGGAAGCCACCAACCCAAAGGCCCTGAAACCAGGGCTGTGTGTGTGAGGGCCAGAAAGGAAGCCTGTGCAGCCGGAAGTGTTGGCAGCGAAGAGAGGGTCCGACCACCCAGAGCCTGGTGAGTAGCTCCCTGGAGCCTACTTTCACCCAGCTCCACAGTGTAGCTGAAATTCCAGTTCAGTGGGCCTCCCCACTGACGAGGTGCACCCCTATTTTATTTGGCACCCCTACTCACCAGACATTGCAGTGATGTTGAGCTTACTCTGAGGGTATGGTGAACCACTGCAGGGTTTGGAACACAGGAGATGCCATCGTTCTTAAGTTTTTCAAGGATTAATCTGGTTTGTGTTTTGGGAACAGGCCACCAAGGAGGAGCATGGGACAGGAGCCGAGAGGCTGATAGAGCAATCCAGATGAGAGGCAGTAACACTCAGGGTGGTGGCAGTAGAGGAGAGTTGTTGCTGTTAAGAGTCCAGGAATTTCAACTTAGGCTGGATCGGAGGAGAGGGAGGCTCAGGAATGGCTTGCTTTGGCTTGAACCACTGGAAGAACAGAGTGCCCATGGAATGGAAAGAGGAAGACTGTGGGTGGAGCAAGCTAGTGGAAGAAGACTAGATTTATTTGGGGTGTGCTGAGCTGATGATAGGTCAACCAGGATGAGGCATAACCCTCAGCCAACGAAGTCTCAGGTTACTTTCCATTAAAATAGTCAGTGATAGCATTTTTAAAATGACCCTTTCATTCAGGCCAGAGTTTTCCCTACTGTGCTTTGTATCTTATTATTTAAAGGGTCATCTGTAAGACCCTGATACAGACCTGATTGGCAGAATTGTTTTGGTTTTTCTTAGTGTGCTTAGAAGAGCAGTCAGGGTTGGAATTCTGTTTCCTGGTTTCTTCTCCAGTATCTGAGCTGCAAAACCAGACCAGACTGAACAGCCCATTTTCTTGGCAGTCTGACTCATTTTCCATCATTGTTTTCCTTCATCTATCTCCATCCATTTCCTTTCATTCACTCCTCAGCCTTTGAGAGAAAAGAGTCTGACTACTCGAACCCTTTCTTCAGTGTCCTTCCAGGGGCTGAAAATGTGCCCTGGAAAGCAAGCAAACTGACCTCTCCTCCCAATGCCTGTCCCCTGTCCCCCGCAAGCTACAGGTCCTGGGTTCCCAGCCCTGGTTGGGGCCAGTGGTTCCGAAGAGGAACTCACAGCTGCCTTCCCTCTTTTTACCCATGTTCCTGGAGAGATGACTTATTTTTTCTGTCTTGATTAGCAAGTTTATGTATTCTTGCACAATCATTGTGATTTTTCTTTCTTAGACTTGTAGTTCATTTTAACATAATGATTGGGATATGGCTCTTTTAAATTATATGGAAATGTTACATCTCCAATAGACAAAAACTGTTGCCTTTTTTACCTTGTGCACCATGTTTTAAATCCTAGTGTTTTTTGTTTTAAGATTTACTTATTTATGCATACAGAACTGGGATACAGGCCAGAAGTACAGGGGTAGTGAGAGGATTCACCATAGCCAGAGAGGGGAGCAGAACAGACAGATCAACAAAGTACACTGCTGAGGGGAACACCATGAGGCTCACCTCCTAGGCGGGTATCAAACTTGCCAAAGCAGCCAGGGCCAGCTACGCAGCGCTGCACTTTAACCCACTGCACCACAAGGGAGGACCTTAAATCCTAGTGTTTTAATGGCACATGCTTCCAGAAAGCATTTCTCTTCCCACAGTGACTGCATTTTGTTGGGATGCTTTACAAGTGATGCCTTACAAGTGCTGGTGAAGCAACAAGCTGCATCTTCAGTGCTTCCTATGTTTTGCAGGACTCGAAAGGGACAAGTTCGACAATAAAACTGTTTCATTTGAGGAGCACATCAAGTCAGAACACAACATGTGGCACTATCTGTACTTCCTTGTCCTGGTGAAGGTCAAAGACCCGACTGAGTACACTGGACCTGAAAGCTACGTGGCTCAGATGATTGTGGTGAGTGGCCACAGCGGGGGGTTCGCGGGCCTGTTGTGTGTTGTCCACCCCCGCGTTCTCCTCCCTGGTGTGCGGGGGAATTGGCAATTCCCAGCAGCCCTTTAGTTCACGTGTAGACAGGACTGGAGCACCTGTCCCTTGTCGCCCCTGCCCGATTTCTCGGAGACAAACCCAGGCCACGTTGACATGTGAGGTGCTGCCACTGAAGGCAGCTGCCCTGTGGCTCCTCCGTCCTGCTTCTCACCCTTTGACCTCACACATCCTGTCAATTGGGCACTGACCCATCGGCAAAAACAAACGGGAGCTTCCCACACAGAAATGCCCTGAGTTTCAGATTCCAGAGTTTAAGAAATTAAATTGTGTCTGGGAAGAATATAATGCCCCACCTCGTGGAGAGCTTTCGGCCAGACTTAGCGCAGCTGTGATGCCTTTGCTTGGATTCCCGAAGGTCAGTCGCCTTGCACAGAGGGCATCCTTGTCCATAGTCTGACATTCCTTCTATTTCACAGAAGATTAAAACTCACTTACTTCAGGACAGTCAAAATTACAACTTTACTCTCACATGATACACCACGAGGGAGTATCATGCTCCCACGAGACAGCATTTCATTTACATTCTTATAATAAACAGAGCCATGTATTGGACTCTTTTCTCAAAAACTCATCCTACAAAACTACTAACTACTTGAGAATGAGACCTTAGAGGACTCGAGACCCCTCCCTGCAAGGCTTACATAATACCAGGTCAGCTCCTGTGCCCAGGAGCTGGGCGGCCCCGTGTGCTGCCTGTCCTTCCCTTCAGCGTGACTCAGAGGGCAGGAGGTTCAATGGGGAGCAGCATGGTAATGCGTTACTAATGTAGTAGTTTACCTTACAGGACACTATATGCCCATCAGAGAGCTGCACTAGTAAATCGAATTTTTGTAGTTATTTTTCATGTTTCCTTTCGTATTGACTTACCACCTAGTTTATTTTCTCTACATTCTTCATTTAATGTGGAGCAGGATCTTTTCATGTTCCTTTTCTGCCCTTTGCTTTTCTGCCTTCTCACCCTTTGTAATTAGGAAGAATGATAATCACTTTAAGAAAGTGAATTTATTATTTATACATGCTTGATCTCATGATGCTCAGAGCCCATTGCTGTGAAATAGTTTCTGCTTTCCATGGGGAAAACATTGAAGCATGACATTTAAACACTTTATCAGAGTTCCTTTTGTCAATTTCTTGGATTCTCATAATGTCCTTAGATTAAGGTTTCAGGGACGATACTGAAGAGTCTGATACACATCTCTGCTAAGGCAATCTGCGGAGGCTTCGATGCATGGAGGGAGTGTGTGTGTGTGAGAGAGAGAGCAGTGGCAAGATAGCAAGACAGTGTAGAATTTGTACAGACAGTGCCTCTGCTGGATAAGAGCAATTTCTGTAAAAGGCACAGTCTGAAAATGCAGACACTGAGTGAATAGCTCATTGCCCACTTTCATTGACATAGTACACATATAAGGAAGTGCTGAAAGAGGGGACAAGAAAAGTTAGGTTGGACTTTTAAGTAACCAGTGTCTGTGTTTGGATGTTATTTCATTAAAAATGGAAAGTCACTGAAGGTTTTAACTAAAGGAATATTGTGACTGAGGACAGTAGGCACCGGTGTTGTGGCTGGTTTGAAGAAGGGAAAGATGAAGACAAGGGTAATGTTTGGCAAGTGATTAGGGTTGGGGAATATGGGTGGCAGTGGGGGAGGGGTAAGATGCCAAGATGATCCAAAGATACCTCTCATTCACATGGAGAATGTGGTGTATTGGTTTTAGAAAATCTCTTTTTGGGGGATGAAATACTGGTCAGAGAAGAACACTTGTTGATTCTTTAGTGAGATTGGAAGCAGAGTCATAGAGTAGGAGGGATATTGTGTGACAGCAGAGTGAGCTTTAAGAGCCAAAAGTATCTGGGATCAACCTTGGCTCCATCGCTAATTCGCTGTGTGATCTTAGAAGGTTAATTGAGCCTATCTGAGCCTCTACCTCTTCATCTAAAATGCTGCATAACTCACAGATTGACAGATCTAGAAAACAAAAGGCAAAATGGCACTAGCAAGTCCTCAGGATAAAGACAAAACCCAAGGATAGGCTGTTTTCAAAAATCTCACTTTATGAACTCTAATGACCTAACATGAGGGAAAGGAAAATGGCACTTCATGCCAATGGAAGACTTTTAAAGGCAGAGGCCACTATAATTACATTAGATTAAATAGTGTTCCAGCCAGAAAGGTAACAAGGGACAAAGATAGGCATTATATAATGACAGAGGGATCAATACAATGGGAAGACATAAGATGTAGTAATATATGTGCACTCAAACACATGAGCAAATGTTAAAAGAAATAAATAGAGACACTATACTACTTAAAGTAGTTTACTCCCCACTCACAGCAATTCACAGACCACCTAGGCAGAAAGTCAACAAGGAAACAGTGCCCTAAGGACAAATTAGATGAGATGAATGTAGTACCACCCTGGAACAACAGGATACACATTCTTTTCAAGTGTGCGGGAAGGATAGACTGTATATTGGAATACAAAACAAGTCTCAATTTATGAAGGCTGAAATCATATCAAACATCATTTTGGATCTCAGAGGCATAAAATATGAAACTAAACATCAGCCAAAGTGGAAAGAGGAGGAAGCCACATAAACAAATATGCTACTGAACAACTAACTATTGGGTCAAAAGGAAATCAAAGGTGAAATTTTAAAAATACTGAGAGAGAAATGAGAATGAAGAAAATAACTTGTCAGAACCCATAGAACACAACCAAAAAAAAAAATAGGAGGAAAGACTGTTTCAATTCAAAAAACAGTAGAATTACAAATGAATACATGAAAGAGATTAAAAAAAAAAGTTCAAGAAACCAAGAACTGGTTCTTTGGGGGAAAGAAAAGTATAAAACTTTGAGCCAGGCTCACAAAAAAAGAAAACATTAAATAAAAGCAGAAACATAGCCAGAGAAATTAGAAAACTACAGAAATACAAAAGATCACAAGAATATTATGAACAACTACATGGTAACAAATTCTCAAAGGAAATGAACAAATTCTTAGAAACCTACACTATTCTGAAAAGGAATCAAGAAAAAATAGAAAATGTGAACAGATATATCATAAGTAACAAAATGGAAACAGTAATCAAAAGTCTTCCCCCAAACAAAAGCTCAACTACTGAATTAATATCTTTCTCAAGTTTTTCCAAAAAAAAAAAACAGAAAAAGTGGAAAAAACACATCCTATAAAGCCAGCCTTAGCTCCATTCTGAAATCAGACCAGGGCCTTACCAAAAAGAAAGAGAAAAAGAAAAAGCTAAGGGTGAAATCTGATGAATATAGAAGCAAAAATTTAACAATACATTAAAAAAATCATATACCATGATCAAGTGGGATTTATTCCAGGGGTGCAAGGATGACTCGACATATGCAAATTAGGCAATAAGAAATGCCAAATCAACCAGAAGTACAGAAGTCATAGTCATTTTAACAGATGCAGAAAAAGCATTTGATGTCCTTCTGTGATATCATTAAGGCCACATGTTATGTAACAATCCATGTCCAATATCATACTCAATGATGAAAAGCAAGAATTATTTCCTCTGAAATCAAGAACAAGAAAGGAATGTCAACTCAATTCATTATTCAAAGTGGTATTAAAATAATCAGACAAGACAAAGATTTTTAAAAGGCATCCAAATTATTTATTGCAAATGACTATTTGCCTACAGAAAGACAAGAATGGAGCAGAAAGAACACACAGGAAAACAATCTCATTTACAGTCACTTCAAAAGGAATTTAATGCCTTGGAGTACATTTAACCACAAGTGAAAGACCTGCACACAGAAAACTATGAAACATGGTAAAATAAAGACTCAAAAAGATGGAAATGATTGGGTGGGGAAAATTCACATCTTTAAACTATTATTTAAAGCAGTGTACATATGCAGTATAATCCCTGTCAACATCCCAATGACATTCTGTACAACTATGCAACAAAAATCATGAAACGTATGCAGAATCACCGAGGACCCTGAGTCACACACAACTGAATATTACACTTCCAACTATGCTATCAAGTAACAGAAATGAAAACAACATGTAACTGGAATAGAAAGTCACATAGATTAATGGAATACAAGTGAGAAATCAACCTACATATGGACAACTAATTGTAACAAAGGAGCCAAGAAGGCACAATGGAACAACAACAACAAAAATCTCTTCGACAAATGTAGTGGGAAAACTGGACAGCCACAAGCAAAAGAATGAAACTAGACTACTATGTAACACTATACATAAAAATAATTCAAATGGATGTAAGCCCTGAAACAACAAAGTACACAGAGTAAGTGATAAAGTGGGCTTTCAGTGTTGAACTTAATGTAGCATTTACACATGCTGATTTTTTAATGATGTACACCTGAATCTTACATAGTATCACAATAATAAAAATAAATGAAACTACATCAAATTAAACAGCTTCTTCACTGTAAATGAGACCATTATTAGTATTGAAAAGGCAGCCTCCTAAGTGGGAGAAGACATTTGCAACAATATATCAATGAAGGAGTTAATATCCAAATTGTGTAATGAATTCATGCAACTTGGCAACATACTACCCAATTTTAAAATGGGCATAGGATCCAAATAGATACTTCAGCAAAGACAGGGATAGCCATCTGACATAGGAGATGTTCTTCACCACTTAGCATCAGCAAAGTGCAAATCCAAACCACAAAGATACACTAACACCTATTAAAATTTTCTCAAAAAGCCAAGAAACCAGTATGGAGAGGCTGTATAGACAAAGGAAAGTGATGTACTGTTGGAAGGAAAGAAAATTGGAGCAGCCATCATGGATCATTATGTAGACATTCCCCAAAACATAGAACTACTGTTTGATCCAGCAACCCCACCTTTAGCTATTTATCTGATGAATATGAAATTTTTCTTGAATTATAAAT